CAGTACACTGGCAGTCGTGGTACAGCGGTTTGGCACTTCCGCGTCACCGTCGCTGGATCAAAGACACCAGCGATCTATACGTTCTTATACTAGCCAGTGATGAATCTAGGTGGTCCAGGCAATTTACCGATCGGCGCAATCTTATGCGCTGCGCGTTTTTACGATCGTAAGATTGCGCGGCCATCTTAAGAACGCGCTCTGCGTTTTAACGACAGTATAATTGCGGAGCAATCGGAAGATTGGGTTAATATTTGATACATGTATTTTTGAAATAATCTGTTTTAAAATACTCTTCCTTCTTTATTCTTTTGCTCACATCAAGGAACATTCACATACATTTTCAAAAGTGTTAAAATATGAAAATTAAAATTAACATATAACAATTAAGAGCTCACAAGAATGATACAATGCCAGGCATCACACTCAAAGTTCACAAAGTACATAATAGAATAAATAAAGATTGAAGTGGATTTTAAAAAAAATATTCAAAAATACAAAACAAATCTTCAGATTGCCGCCCAATTATATCATCGTTAAAACGCGCAGCACAAAGATGGCCGCGCAACTATACGATCGTAAAAACGCACAGCGCAATTTAAGATTGCGCAGATCGGTAAATGCGCGGAACATGATACTATGTACTCACGTATCGCCTGGCAGCCTTCAGCCGTCGCTGTTTGTTGAGTCGTGCGTTCACTGACGTCAGCCTGGCCCGTCGTGCTGCCTTAGACACGGGGCCCCGGGGTTGGAACCTAGGACATGTAGGACAACAGGAAGATAAATATACAAGTTCAAAAAGGTGTAAAAAAGGAAGAATTACTATTTTTCAAACTGCGGGTTGGAATACGAAAATCAATTCTGAATTTAGCTGTGTAACTGTTGAAATATCCTTAGTACACTACAGCTCAAAATAAACTAAGGGCGTATTTTTTATTAAAGAAAAGTAACATGTAAAAACTTCGAAAAAGAAGAAAAGCATGTTCTAAGCATTGTTATATATTATCTATTTCACGGCATTTTGACAATAACTTGTGAGAAAAATAATCTGGCACACCGACTTAACTGTATTAACCCACGGCCTAGTCCGAGACTGTCTTGGGCTTTCTGGTTGGACTTAGGACTAAAGCGAATTCCTGCGTTACATACATCTCGATGTTTATTAAAACCTATTTCGGGTTATTGTAAAAGCTCACAGTCGGTCATATCGGAGATGGCTGCTGAATTCGCGGGTCCCCTCACAATGTTGTAAGGGGCGAAAACGAAACAACAAGCTTTTGTAACTATTTATGGTTTATTTTTCTAAAATCTTCTTTTTTTGGAAGGGGTGGGGGGGGGGGGGGGGGGTCAATTAAAAAAACCCAACATGTCAAGTAGTCACACCATTCTGCGGCTTGATGTTGGTTTAGTTCGTTCAGCCACTAAGCTTGAGTTTAGTCTTTGTAAGATAAAACTCTTACTCCGGCATAGATATAAGTGATAAAGATTAGAGTCTTACTTTAGAACAACATACAAAGAACTAAAGGGGGAGATATAATAATGATAAGTGTTAATAGGAAAGAAGGAAAGAAGGAGCAAACCACACCAGAGCACTCGCCAAATACAACAGGTTCTGTCGTTGTTTAAAACAGTTTTTTTTTTAGGGAGAGAGATTTTTAACAATCACTGGTCCTTAAAAATTACCTCTCTATTTATTTGCACAGGGTGTGTGAAAGTATTCGTTTTATTGTAACATTTAGCACCCGTAGGAATGGTTCCACAGCTTTTAAAAAATATTTTTTATCAGTCATACCTCTAATTAAGGGGAAAAAAAGAATACGCTTTAGTTATCATTTTCCCTCTTTGTTCAATACTACTCAGGGCGCACCTTTAGTGCAGTTGGTATCATGCAGGACAACTGAGGGGCTGGCCCTGGTTTGAATCTCAACATCCTGAACCTTGGAAAGTTTTGGGGAGTTTAAGGCACCTCTGCCTACTTGGCTCGGTGTTTTCGGAGACGGTTGGTTTAATGAAATCAAATAACACTAAAATAACCATATAGTGTTGAAAGGGGGCTTTAAACCTATGCAATGACCAGTGATCAATACTGCTGAAGGAGGCCAAGCTAGGAAACTGACAGAACATTGTGGAAAGCCTGACAAAATATCATTGAGCATAAAATACGTTAAAAAACTGATTAAACCTCCCGATGCCGTGTATCACGAGCTTAGTGCAGAGTGCTCAGATCAATACATTGATGAAGTGAGGAAAAATCGATCTGAATGAAGGTTATTTCGAATATGATCTGAGGAGATGCATAGATAGATAGACAAACGATCAAACATGCAGACATACAGACGGACAAACATGTAGACAGAGGCCGGCGAAGGCATGTGTTTGAGAAAGAATATATACGGGTATGTAGGGGTATTATCACTTAGTTTTTATGTGGCAGAAAGAGTGGCTGGTCCTGGACGGGGCGGGGGAGAGGAAGAGGAAAGGAGAGAGAGAAAGAGAGAGAGAGAGAGAGAGAGAGAGAGAGAGAGAGAGAGAGAGAGAGAAAGAAGGAGAGAGAGAGAGAAAGAAAGAAATAGAAAGAGGGAGGGAGAGGGGGGGGGGAGGAGGTATGGGGACAAATAAATGAACGGGAAAGAGGGGGGCATCGAATTCGATCTAGTTTCAGGAGAGAGAAAGAGGCAGGGGATTTGGTTGTGGGGGGTGGGGGGGGGGTGGGGGGAAGGCAGAGCCAGACTAAGAAAGAGGAAGACAAACGCTTTGAAAATGGGCGCCGTCACAATATGTCCATAAACACATAACTGATTGCCCAATCCAGAACGGCTATCTAATACGTATGAATAATTTTACTGTCCTAATCCCGTTACACAAATGAAAATATGAAGATTGTTTCTTGTTTTTGTTAGTGTTTTATGCAACTGCATAAAGTCGACAAAAGAATGAAGGAGAAAGTCACAAAACCAAAAACGGACGAAACTGGACTGGCAGATCAACTTTCAACGCACGAATGTGTCGCAATAGAAAACTAATACGTAATATGTGAGGTCAAAACGATAATGTCTTATCAGAAAGCAAATCGCTGCCTCGGAATTACAAAGTTCTATCTGACATTTTTGGTAGTTTTGAGTTACTAAGACCATATGTTCTATCTTTTCTATCGAATTCGTAAGATTATTCCGAGTCGTTATCTCTACTTACTTTACTTTTTACTTTTTCATCCTCTGTTGCCGTTAAGCGTCGAGGGGAGATGCAGTTTTCTATGGTAGGCCAGCTCCGCAGCTCTTTCAGTTGTGATGTTATGTTTTCTTAGGGTTTCCTTGACACCCTCGATCCACCTTTTGCGTGGCCTTCCTCTTCCTTTATAGCCTGAGTGCTTGGTGTTGTACGCTCTCAACGCTGGCTGGTCAGGTGACATGCGTAACAGGTTGTCACGGTAGTCACGTATTGTACCTTACTCTTTTTTAATCACGGGACGTAAGTGCCCCGTATGCCATGGGTTTTTGGTTAATGTTACTCACTTCGGGGATCAACATAAAAAGTCAGACACTACACCCGGGCTCATTACTAGAATGCTTGCTGTCGTGTGTGTTCGTCTCTCCAGTTTACAGTCGTGTGCGTATACTAACATAACATGGTGTCAGAAGTCAGTGGATAACGTGTCACAAGTGTCAGAATGCCTCATTTCAAGCCTCCTGAACCGTTTGATTTTTCCAAACCTCACGAGTGGCCCGAGTGGCGACAGCATATGCTACGTTACCGTACAGCCACCAAACTGAGCGCAGAGACCGGAGCAATCCAAGTAAGTTCATTAATTTACGCTATGGGACGCCAAGCTGAACAGATATTTAACACGTTCACGTTCCCTGCTCCCGTCGAAGGTAACGATCCTAGGGACAACTTTGACACTGTCTTTGAGAATTTCGACGCTCACTTTGTCCCCAAGCGGAATCTTATCCACGAAAGAGCAAAGTTTCATGCACGAGCACAAAACAGTGGGGAGACGATAGAAGAATATGTTAGAGCCCTGTACGAGCTTTCAGAACATGCAGACTTTAAGGACCGAGATGAAACCATAAGGGATAGACTCCTCCTAGGAGTACTGGACAATGAACTGTCACAGCGCTTACAACTCGAGGCAACTCTTACTTTGAAATCAGCCATCGATACAGCTCGCCATTTCGAGCTCGTAAAGGGTCAGGTCAGTAGCCAACGTCAGCTAGGTGCAGCAGTCACAGTAGATGCAGTGCGCTACGGCCAGAGGGGATATTCGTCGCCTGCTCACCCCAAGGGTAGAGGCGGCCGAAGAACAGGTACACACTCACAACACAGAGGCAGTCATGCAGCACTGTCAACTTTCTCTAACTGCGGCCACTGTGGAAGAGGTAATGCCCAAAACAATTGCCCTGCGCGTGGGAAAACTTGCAGGAAATGCGGCAAGCGCAATCATTTCGCAACTGTCTGTCGTAGCAGCAGCCGCAATGTCAACGAAATCACTGAATCGGAAACTCCTTCGCTCTTTTTAGGTGCTGTTGACAAAGACTCGGACAGTAATGTCGTTACGGATGTAAACTTCGGCGGAGTTAGCGAGCCACCATGGCGCGTTACACTGAACCTTGGAGGGAGAGCTATATCCTTCAAGATAGGCACAAGGGCCGATGTTTCGATAATGTCGAAGGCCGTCTACAACAGTCTCAGTCCTCGTCCAAAGCTGAAAACAACGTCGGCAGTTCTTCGCAGTCCTGGTGGAGTCATAAGGAGCGTGGGAGAATTTATCGCAACTACGCAGCATAACAATCGCAACTTTGCGTTCCGTGTTTTCGTCCTTGACGACGACACCGACTGTCTTCTCAGTCGCGACGCCGCAGTTCGTCTGACTGATCTCTAGAGACAGAATAGACTCTGCCAACCTCGTGTTCGGCGATGTGGGACCTAAACCTATACGCTGTGAGCCAGTGAAAATCATCTTGAAAGAAGAAGCACAGCCATATTCTGTGAACGTCACACATCGGATTCCCATTCCACTCATGGACGAAGTCAAGGCTGAACTAGACCGCATGGAGGCCGCAGGTGTCATAGAGAAGATCAGCGCTCCAACTGACTGGTGCGCGCCGATGGTCCCGGTCAGGAAAAGGTCTGGTAGCTTTAGAATCTGCACAGATCTGAAAAAGCTCAACCTATCAGTGAAGCGTGAACGATTCATGCTGCCCACCATAGACGACATCTTGTACAAACTCAGCGGATCAAACAAGTTCAGCAAGCTTGATGCAACTTCTTCCTTTTGGCAGTTGGCGCTAGACGATGACTCCGCGAAGCTGACTACTTTTATTACCCCGTTCGGTCGGTATTTCTACAGACGTCTCTGTTTTGGAATCACCTCTGCGCCTGAGATATTTCAGCGCACGATGCAAGACATTCTAGCGGGCGTAGACGGTGTTGAGTGCTTTATGGACAACATCCTCCTGCACACGGATGGTCAGGAGAAACACGATGAGCTGAAGAAGAAAGTCTTCCAGCGGCTAAAGGAACGTGGGGTCAAGTTGAACAAATCCAAGTGCAAGTTTGACAAGGATGAAATCGACTTTCTGGGCCACATTATCAGGGGGAAATGTGTGAGGCCAGATCCATCCAAGGTCAGAGCCATCACAGAAATGCCAGAGCCAGAGAACATTACAGACTTGCGACGAGTGCTCAGCATGGTGAACTATTTGGGCAGGTTTGTGCCAAATCTGTCAACAGTCATGAAGCCGCTCACCGATCTTCT